GGGGCGGGGGGGGGGGGGGGCGCGGCGCCCGATAAGTGGCGGAGCCGAGCGCGCGCCCGACCAGAGAGCGAGCGCGCAGCGGCGGCAACGACCTCGGCGCGCCCCGGCCAGGCCTCCCGCGCCCCGCGCCCCCCCGGCGTCTGCGTGCCTCCAGCGCTCCCGCGCCCCCGCGCCCCCGCCCTCGGCCCCGGCCGCCGCCTCGGCCCCCAGCCGCTGCTCACCCGGCCCGGGCCCCGCCGCCCGCCTCCCAGGACCAGCCCGCGCCCCCCAGGTCGCCGCCGCCCGCGCCGCCATGGGGGTGGAGGGCTGCACCAAGTGCATCAAGTACCTGCTCTTCGTTTTCAATTTCGTCTTCTGGGTGAGCCCCGGCCAGGGGGAGCGGGGGGCGGGGGGGGGGCAAGGCGCCCCGAGCCCCGCAGGCCGCGCGCCCCGCTAGGCCCCGCGCAGGGGGCGCAGCGGGGCCGCCAAGTTGCTGGGCCACCTGTGCACGGCGGGCGCGGGGTGGGGAGTCCTGGGCCGGCAGGCCCCGCCGTTGGGGGTCGTCTGGGGCTGCCGCGCCCCTCGACGGTGGGGCGGGTGGCTGCGAGCCGGGTTTCGGGGCCTCTGTGTCCGGGCCCAGAGCCCCGCGGCCGGACTGGCGCCTTTGGGCGCCACGGGTCTGTTCCCGATTGGTGATGGGGGGTGCGGTGGGTGCGGGCCCGGGGCCGCGCACCCATACCCGGGCCACCGCTCAGCCCCTCTGGCGCTGTTCCTGGGACCACCCTGTTTTGCGAGGACGGAGCGGGGGCTCGAGGGCCGGGCTCATGGCGCCCCGCCCCCATGAGCTCATCTGGGCCACCGCCCCTGATGAGCGGCCGTGGTGGGAGGGGGCGCACACTCTGTCCGAGTCTGGGGGAACGTTCACCGTACTCCTGGCCTAGGCTCCCAGTCTGCTAACGCCACGCTGGGGATCGTCCTGGGGGTCCGGGCCCGGGAACCTGGTGGCCTGCGTGCTGGGGTGCCTGCACCATCGTGGCCCCAGTTTGTGGGGTCCGGTCCTCCTGCCCTCTTCACCCAGACCGAGATTCTAGCCCGGCCTCGCCCTGGAGGGGTGCTGTGGAGGCTTTGAGGGCAGTGGGGTCGGAGCTTGCCTTCTGAGTTGGCACGGGGCAGGGGGCCGTGAAGACCTGAGCGTCTCTGAGTTCGGGGGGGCCTGGGTTCCCGGTGGATACCCAGGTCTGTGCTCGGGCATCCACTTTGAAAAGAGGCAGCCACAGGATGGTCATCTCTGGGTGTAGGGAGGTCTCCTGGGATCTCCAGCTGCTGGCCTGAGAGTTGCATTTTCCTGACCTTATTCTTGACTGCTGTCCAGTGGCCGATGATGCTTTTGCTTTTGTTTCCATTTCCTGTCGGTGTTGGAATTGGGAAGGGGGTGGAGATCACTTTTTGGCCTGATGGGCCCCTGAGGGAGTGTCAGGAGCCTGCCCGAGGGCCGTCCCCTACCTCCCCTCCGTGCTCGCCTGGGCAGGGACCGGGACCCCCTCCGGGGCACCCTCCCTGCTGCTCTGCCACCCCAGGCTGCTCACCCCTTCTCACTGAGGACCAGGGTGACGTCTGCTGGATGGTGTATTTCTCAAGTTGACTCAGGGAGGATAAACTTTTAAAATGGCCCCTGGAGCTAAGGTGTGGGACTGGGGACATCTGCTTGCCATCTGGACGCCCGAGGATCTTGGGGTGGATCTCAGGGCAGTGAGGTATTTGGGGTGGGGAGGAGAGAGACTGGACTGAATTCTAGCTGGGGGTGGAATGGGGGTATCACATCCTCCCTGGGGGGCACCTTTGCTGAAGGAGTGGTGTCTGTGTAGCTTTAGTGTCTGCCTGCTGTGGCCCAGGCAGGTGGGGATTATGGGGCCACCCAGACACCTCTGCTGGCTCCTGAGCCCATCGTCCCCTACAAGCACAGCCTGGATGGCGGGGGAGGACCAGCAGGAGGTGGAGGGGAGACAGAGGAGGGAACCTCTCCCAGAGTGGATTCTGGGGCTGGGTGTTAGTGCTGGGTAATTCCCTCCCACCTGCCCAGCCTGGGAGGTCTCCAGGGCAGGCCCCCTGGAGCTTAGCCTGGGTGAGTCTGGTAGTTTCCCAGGCAGCTGGGGTGGAGGCCTGACATCTGTGGCTGCTGTCCCTTGAGGCTTGAGGAAATGCTTCCGAGGCCTCTCTCTCCCCTCCTGGGGCCTGCCCAGCTGAGTATTGAGAGCGCCTGCCTGCTATAGTCACCGTAGCCCCACACACCCATGCAGGGCCACCTCCTGCAGTGGGGAGATGCAGAACTGAGCGAGGCTGGGCTGAGGGGAACCACTCTGCCTGCCCCCTGGCATCTCTTGGCTGAGAGTATGGTTGGGGGTGGGGGAGATGGACCCAGATGGAGTCCCCACCCCACTACTCTGGTCCTGGGCCTCAGCCCCTCCCATCTAAAGTGGGAGTCCTGAGTGCTCTCTCCTGGGATTGTTGGTGGAGTATCTGATGTACGGAGGGGCCACCCTCAGGAAATGGATGTTGGGGATGGTGGCTGGCTGGGAAGATGGCCAAAGGGAGCCCAGCCCATTGGCTTAGGCAGTGCCTTGGGGAAGGGGCCTCAGGCACAGGACCCAGTGGGTGAGGGAGGGCTCCTGGTGCCCAGCATGACTCCTCACTGTGCACCCCAGCCCCAGTGCAGTAAGGGATGCTGAGGGCAGGAGCCAGGAGGAGAGGTGGACAGTGGGTCTCTGGATTAGGGCACGTTTTAAAGTTCTCTTTTAGAGAGTAAAGGGGCTTCCCACGGGGAGGAGGCATCAGAGGCAGGCTGGCATGCTTCTCCAGGGAGGAGCCGGTCACCCTGTGCACCCACACACATACTTGCTCCCTGCCCTTGCACCGAGACCCCAGGGCCCCGGGCGGTGTGCACTCAGCCTTCTTTGGGGGTTCCTTGGCCAGGCAGGCACCAGGCTGTGAGGTAGGGATAGGACAGGAGGACGAGCAGCCACCCGGCCTGAGCAGGGGAGACAGTGCGGACACCCTGCCAGGCGGTGTGGAGATCCTACTCCTGGGGTGGGACCAGGAGCTTCCTGGCACAGGCAGCCGGTACTCGAGACCCCCGTTCCTGGAGCACATCCGGAAGAACAGAGGCTCTTGTCCCTGCTTACCCCAGCCGGTGACCTGGGCAGTCGGCCGACCTGTGTGAGTCCTCCCTGCCTTCCTCATCTGTGGAATGGGTATGACAATAGCCCTCTCCTTGGGTGCTGGCCAGGGAGCCCTGGAGGTGCCACTGCCCCAGTGTCCCCCGCCTGGGACTGGGACGGGCTGCTCCTCCAACCTAATGCAGTCGGTGGCTGCCTTCCAGAGGCAGGGCGGCCAGAACTGCCTGGGAACGGGGCTGATTAGAAGCCTTGCTAACTGGCATTTAATTCTCGCTTCCAGACAGCACATGACTGTCTGTCACTTAGTGATGCTGTCGCCTTCCTTCCGAGGGAGGGGGTGTGACCCAGGCGGGCTCTCGGTAGGGGTGGGGATTTCCTGTGCCCGGTTTCAGTGGGTGGGCCAGGGACTCGCCCCAGTGCGCCCCGTGTGCTGTGGTGCTTTGGGGAAACGGCCGTTGGGCTGTCCCGGGGCTGAGAAGAAGAAATCTGTGGTCTGTCCCTGGGATGGGCTGGCCCCAGTGAGGGTGTCGGGGCAGTGAGGGGCACGGAGCTGGAGTGAGGGGCAGGGAGCCTGGGCCCCTGGCGGGCTCTGCTTCGGTGCTGACGCGGTGTTCTCCCTGTGGGGTTCCCACCCCCACCCCAGCTCAGTTGTCTCCAGAATTTGAGTTCACTCTCAGTCCCCATCTCATACTGCTTCAAAGCCCGGACAGTGACATGGACCAAACAAAACTAAAGAAAAAAACACAGGGCCAGGCCCGGTGGAACAGCGGTTAAGTTCGCCTGTTCTGCTTTTCAGGGTCCCACGGTTCGCCAGTTCGGATCCCGGGTGCAGACATGGCCCCACTTGGCAAAAGCCATGCTGTGGTAGGCGTCCCACGTATAAAGTAGAAGAAGATGGGCATGGGTGTTAGCTCAGGGCCAATCTTCCTCAGCAAAAGGAGCAGGATTGGCAGTAGTTAGCTCAGGGCTAATCTTCCTCAAAAAAAAAAAGGAAAAACCATCCCACTCCCTCCCAAATACACTCCCCCCATGCCTTCATTTCAGCACCGAAATCCCGTGGCGGGGAAGAACCAGGGCATAAAATCAATACGGCTTAGAGCCCAGGCACCCGGTCAGGGAGGACTGACAGTCACCTTTGCACTGACCCGGCATTCTGGAGAGGGCCCTGGGGTGGGGGTGGGGGTGGGGATCGAGGAGAAGCCCAGGGCCTGGCCCCCCAGGTCCCAGGCTGGCCACCCAGCAAGGGCAGGGTGACTTTCGACCCCAGAGGCGGCACCTGCCTGGTGGCCAGGACTCCTTGTCCTGGGCGGAGAACCAGGCTCGCCAAGAACTAGCCCTCAGTACCCTTCTGAATCGTTTTCCACCTGTCCAGCAAAATGTGTTTTGACCCAGGGGCTGGCCCCGTGGCCGAGTGGTTAAGTTCGTGTGCTCCGCTGCAGGCGGCCCAGAGTTTCGTTGGTTCGAGTCCTGGGCGCAGACATGGCGCTGCTCATCAAACCACGCTGAGGCAGCAACCCACATGCCACAACTAGAAGGACCCACAACGAAGAATATACAACTGTGTACCGGGGGGCTTTGGGGAGAAAAAGGGAAAAAATAAAATCTTAAAAAAAAAAATGTTTTGACCCAGCCCCTCCTCCCGATGGCCGAGCAGGTGCTGGTTCATTCCAGGTGGGCCCCCAGATGCCGAGGAGTCCCCACAGGTGGGCAGGGGGCATGCCCAAGAAGCTCACCAGTCGTCAACTGGCAGCTGGATCTTCTTTCCTAAGCCAGCCGCCAGCACTGTGGCCACGGGGGCACCTGGGACGGGCCAGCCGCCCTCTGTGGGTGTGACGGCTGGTGAGGCCACAGGGTTAGCAGGCTGGGGAGGCACATTAGGCCTGGGGCTTGGTGGGGTCGGGCCCTGTACGTGCCTCAAGTTGGTGGGGAGGGTGCTCCGGGCTGGGAAGCTGAGAGCCCATGCATGGGTGGTCCAAATGCCCTGGAGGCCTGGGGACAGGGAGCCCCTTGCCCTCTTCTCTGAAGCTCTGGCTCTTCTTCTGACTTTGGAAAGTTAGTGCTCTCCCCACCCCTAGTTGTTGGCGTAACACGCTCGCTGTTGAGAGGGTGAAGGACAGGAAACCAGGAAACCGTGCAGAGCTGGTGGGCAGGTGACCCACCCTGGCATCCTGCGCTGTCATGCAGGAATCTTCTGTACCCACTGTCC